TGGATAAGTTGGTGGTCAGGGGCTTAGAATCACTAGTAAAATGCAGGAATGTTTGGTGAATAAGTTGGTGGTCAGGGGCTTAGAATCACTAGTAAAATGTAGGAATAATTGGTGGATAAGTTGGTGGTCAGGGGCTTAGAATCACTAGTAAAATGTAGGAATGTTTGGTGGATAAGATGGTGGTCAGGGGCTTAGAATCACTAGTAAAATGTAGGAATGTTTGGTGAATAATTTGGTGGTCAGGGGCTTAGAATCACTAGTAAAATGCAGGAATGTTTGGTGAATAAGTTGGTGGTCAGGGGCTTAGAATCACTAGTAAAATGTAGGAATGTTTGGTGGATAAGTTGGTGGTCAGGGGCTTAGAATCACTAGTAAAATGTAGGAATAATTGTTGGATAAGTTGGTGGTCAGGAGCTTAGAATCACAAGTTAAATGTAGGAATTTTTGGTGGATAAGTTGGTGGTCAGGGGCTTAGAATCACTAGTAAAATGTAGGAATGTTTGGTGGATAAGTTGGTGGTCAGGGGCTTAGAATCACTAGTAAAATGCAGGAATGTTTGGTGAAAAAGTTGGTGGTCAGGGGCTTAGAATCACTAGTAAAATGTAGGAATAATTGGTGGATAAGTTGGTGGTCAGGGGCTTAGAATCACTAGTAAAATGTAGGAATGTTTGGTGGATAAGATGGTGGTCAGGGGCTTAGAATCACTAGTAAAATGTAGGAATGTTTGGTGAATAATTTGGTGGTCAGGGGCTTAGAATCACTAGTAAAATGCAGGAATGTTTGGTGAATAAGTTGGTGGTCAGGGGCTTAGAATCACTAGTAAAATGTAGGAATGTTTGGTGGATAAGTTGGTGGTCAGGGGCTTAGAATCACTAGTAAAATGTAGGAATAATTGTTGGATAAGTTGGTGGTCAGGAGCTTAGAATCACAAGTTAAATGTAGGAATTTTTGGTGGATAAGTTGGTGGTCAGGGGCTTAGAATCACTAGTAAAATGTAGGAATGTTTGGTGGATAAGTTGGTGGTCAGGGGCTTAGAATCACTAGTAAAATGTAGGAATGTTTGGTGAATAAGTTGGTGGTCAGGGGCTTAGAATCACTAGTAAAATGTAGGAATGTTTGGTGGATAAATAAAAAATAATATGAGCACGTTGCGGGGCAACGTTTGAAAAAGAAATAATAATTTTAAAAAAAAGAGAGAGATCACGTAAACGGTAGATTGTAACAAATAAGTGTCCCGTAGTGGCATCATCTTACAGCAAACGATAGATTGTAACAAATAAGTGTCCCGTAGTGGCATCATCTTACAGCAAACGATAGATTGTAACAAATAAGTGTCCCGTAGTGGCATCATCTTACAGCAAACGATAGATTGTAACAAATAAGTGTCCCGTAGTGGCATCATCTTACAGCAAACGATAGATTGTAACAAATAAGTGTCCCGTAGTGGCATCATCTTACAGCAAACGATAGATTGTAACAAATAAGTGTCCCGTAGTGGCATCATCTTACAGCAAACGATAGATTGTAACAAATAAGTGTCCCGTAGTGGCATCATCTTACAGCAAACGATAGATTATAACAAATAAGTGTCCCGTAGTGGCATCATCTTACAGCAAACGATAGATTAAAGCAAATAAGTGTTCTTTAGTGGCATCATCTTACAGCAAACCGTAGATTGTAGCAAATAAGTGTTCCTAAAGGGCATTGCATCACATCAAACGATATATTGTAGCAAACAAGTGTTCCGTAGTGGCATCATCTCCCAGTAGACAAGACATTAAAGATGACTTGAGACTTCCAGGGAACCGTTAACACTTGCCGCTTAAAAAAAATGTTCCCTTCCGTAGTTAGCTGTTTCCTGTTTATGATCTTTCACTTACTCAATTAATTATAATACATTAACTAGCAGACCTACATAGTGTTTAAAATCAAACAATTAAAGGCGCCCCCCACCCCAAAGCCCTCCCATTAGTGAAGCACGGATAAATTTACTGGCAATAAATAAAGTCCATAAGTAATTAATTATTCTTTGGATACGTATTGCTTTAGCTTGAAATCTCTACCTGTTAACGTTGTTGACATCCCTCACACTAACCACTTTGTTCTAAGTTCAACATCCCTCACACTAACCACTTTGTTCTCTAAGTTCAACTTATGATACACAAGCTAAGAACTAAACCACGTAATAAAAATCAAAGCTCGCCTTCAAATGAATTGACTGAAGTATTTCGTTTATTGAGAACTAGCTAACTGAAACAGTGTTAATAAAGTGTTTCAAGGGTTAAGGATTATGTCGTAGGGGTGAGGTGCCTGTCCATTGCTGCGAGTGGGCGTGGCTTCCTGTGAGTGAACTTTCATCTTCCCCTTTCTAGTTTGAGGCTTTGGCAGCTGGGGAAAAAAAAATTGTTCCGTAACTTACAATTCATACATTCAAAATTTACTTATTCTTTAAAAAGCGCTTTTTCAGTGCTTATTTCTGATTCACCTCCAAAACAGTTTATTATTTATTTTATATTTTTGTATGCTTGTGTATTAGACAGGGCGTCGAGTGCTGTTGACATTGTGTTGAGTATGGCAGTAAACGGTAGATTGTAGCAAACAAGTGTTCCGTAGTGGCATTATCTTGTGTTGAGAATGGCAGATATTGTGTTGATTGTGAAAGACACTGTGTTGAGTTAGACAGACATTGTGTTGAGTATCACAGACATAGCGTCGAATGTTGACAACGTTGTGTCCAGTGTGACAGACACTGTGTTGAGTGAGACAGACATTGAGTCGCGTGTGACAGAAATTTCGTCGATTGTGACAGACATTGCGTCGATTATGACAGACGTTGTGTCCAGTGTGACAGACACTGTGTTACGTGAGACAGACGTTGCGTCGAGTGTGACAGACAATGCGTCGAGTGCGCAGACATTTTATTGAGTGTGGCAATGTATTTTAAGTGTTTCAGACAATGGGTTTGTGTTTCAGACAATGGGTTTGAGTGGCCGTAATTTGAATTCGTTAACAGAGTTTCTGTTGAATATTTACTGCTGCAACTAAAAATACCATTGTTGTAAATACTTTAAAGTTTGTTTCCTTTCTTTCTTTATTGTTGTTATTATTATTATTATTATTATTATGGTGTATTACACAGCGCAGTGCACCAGCCTCACACATCCAACAAAAACAAGTACCCACCTCGACTCAAGTTTCTAGTTTACTTTAAGAAACGGAGAGGTCTACATTGAACCATTCATCTGTCGGTTGTTCATTTGAAAGCCTTTCAGAAGACTTTTACAGTTTCAACTTAACGTCATATTTATTCTTTTTCTATATTAAAAGTTTGCTTAGTTTTACCTACAATCACCACAGTACAGTACGCAACTGTACTCAAGACTTAAGACATCGCTCACCGACACTGTACACAGGATGACGCACAACTAGATTCCTAATTGTACCCTAGGTAACGGACAACTGCATACCAACAGTACCTTAAACAGTGGACAACTGCAAATCTTTATCGAAACAGGTCAAAGAGACTACTTCCATTAAAAACTTACATTCACAGGCCACATAAACGAGGTCTCTCTTGATGTAATCCAGCATAGCGTAGCTGCCCGCGGAGAAGACATACGCAGGTTTGCTGGCAATGCCCTCAAGCTCCGATCTGGACGGCTCGTGCCCTATGCCCACAGCGATGATAGTCACGCCAGCTGCTTTTAGAGCAGCTGCTTCCTTCAGGGCTGTGAAATCCAGAATGAGATAAGATAAATAATTGAACCAAAATAAAATAGTGAGCCAAAGTTGTTAATTTTCTTAAAATATGAACATGTAGCAAAATACTCGGTTTGTCTCGTGATTGTATTCTCAAAAAAAAAGTGCAAGAAGTATTTTAACCAAACAAAAAACACTTCGCTAAAGTAACTATTAACATTTTAATTTTCTCCTTGAAAAAAAGCAAGATTAAAATAACTCTTGTAAACATTTAATTTTTGGCCCATTCCGTCTCAGTTAATATTCCTGAAACCGGAGTGCCTGCCATTGAACAGAGTGCCTGCCATTGGTCTTAGTGGCTGCCACTGTACAGAGTCCATGCTACTGTACATAGTGCCTGCCATTGTACAGAGTATCTGCCATTGTACAGAGTGGCTCCCATTGTACACTTGCAATTCCGATTGATTGATTTTATTTAAATGTGTGCACCAAAGTAAAGGACACCACAGACCTTCCTTTGAATCGGCGTTTGAAGGCGCGGCGTTCTGAATAACATTCATCCAGCTATCCCTGTTGCACTACAGCCCGTGTAGTGCTTTGGCCTGACTCACTTCTTCCTTCCACTCAGACCTAACTAATACTTTTCTTTTTATGCTTGGATTCCCCGTTGTTGTAGATCTTTTTTCCAAAAGTCATGTCTCTATCCAGGCATAGGTCGATTTTCACTGTTATCAGTTATGGTTTCATTCTGTTGATCGGCTTCCGTAACGTTAATTGTTTACATGGCCGGGTTGTTAGCCCTGAACACAACCATCTTGGGGGCTGCCCCTTACAGCTCTCTAGGTAGCTGCCTTAGTTTTTGGGTAAGGTTCCCTAGTTTTCCCTCCACTTCCTTAAAGGTCGTAGGTTTTGATTTTGGTCCACCCCAGGTACCCTCCATATAAGGTGAGCTTTTTACCTATACGCCACCTGGGGAGGCGCTCGATGGAAGATCACTATCTCCGCACCAGGTTCTGAAAAACTTCTTATTAAAATGTGTGCACCAAAAATAACTTAACTTGAGAGTCCTTCGAAATCAGTTATAAATATGTTTTTTTGCCCCATACCTCTACATTTTAAGATTTTTTTTAAAACTCTGCTTTTAGCTGTTATAAATAATTTTAATACACCTTGTTATACGCACTCTCGCTAGGCACGGTCGACAATCCATCGGTCATAACAATGAGAACATTTGGGACCGGGTCTCGACCACCGTGTTCTTGACCAAACATGTTCCAGTCAGTTACAGCCTTGAGACCCTTGTTGGTGTAAGTACCGGATCCAGTCGGGTAAGGTATATTAATAGCCTGTCAATATAAAAGAAATAGTGTTACAATATGGACACTTAATTCAACAATCGTTAGGACGTTCTCAATTAAGGGATTTCGGATATGAAAAAAAGATGCAATTACTCCTATGGCATGCAATGACAACTATCAGTCCGTGACGCCATCTCAGGGCAAATATAGATGAATTTTAAAAAATTAGTAGCGTCACTAAGGAGGTGACCCCGTGAGCTACCACACTGCTGGGTGCAAGCCTAAGTGACGTCTAATTCACAAGCTTTACTCTTGTGTTTGTTTGGTAGCAGTGGGTCGTGCGACGTGTGGGGGCTGTGCTTAGTCAACCAATGACCTTACTTGTCGAAGGCTCTGGCTGTCCAAGTGATCGTTCAGATCGAACAACTTGTTTGGCGCACTGTTGAAGATGATGGCCGCAAATTTGGTGCCGTCTTCTCCAAGTGTGAAAGCGTCTGTGATATCCGCAGTGAAGTTGGTTTGAACTTGCCAGTTTCTTTTCCCTATACTACTTGACGCATCCAGCAGCAGGACAATATCCGCCTTGGAGTTATTTTTACACGGCGCCGGGGTAGGGGGTGGGTAAGGGGGTAATGTGGGCGCTGAAAATAAATACATAAATATATAAATATATAAATATTACATTTAACATACTAGAAAAATATTAAAATGTTTCAAGGGATCTTCATTTTTTTCTCACACATTTTTGGGGAGAAAGTAGAACATGATCGCGATATCTTGTATATATTTTTGCCTCTGGTGTGTCCTGCTTCTTATTCAAAACCAAACCCCCCCCCCCAGCTCCCCATGTTTTATACCAATAGTCCTTAGTGAAAAAAAGGCTGTCACGCAGTTAGGTAGTTAGATTATCTCTATTCTTTCATTTTTTTTTCACACATTTTTGGGGAGAAAGTAGAACATTCTCGCGATATCTTGTATATATTTTTGCCTCTGGTGTGTCCTGCTTCTTATTCAAAACCAAACCCCCCCCCCCCAGCTCCACATGTTTTATACCAATAGTCCTGAGTGAAAAAAAGGCTGTCACGCAGTTAGGTTGTTAGATTATCTCTAGTCCTATTGTTTAAGGGCTGGCAGGTAGGGTGAAGGCTGTAGGCCTTTTGTTTAAGGGCTGGTAGGTAGGGTGAAGGCTGTCTCTAGGCCTATAGTTTATGGGCTGATAGGTAGGGTGAAGGCTCTAGGCCTATTGTTTTAGGGCTGGCAGTTAGGGTGAAGGCTGTCTCTAGTCCTATTGTTTTAGGGCTGGCAGTTAGGGTGAAGGCTGTCTCTAGTCCTATTGTTTTAGGGCTGGCAGTTAGGGTGAAGGCTGTCTCTAGTCCTATTGTTTAAGGGCTGGCAGTTAGGGTGAAGGCTGTCTCTACTCCTATTGTTTAAGGGCTGGTAGTTAGGGTGAAGGCTGTCTCTAGTCCTATTGTTTAAGGGCTGGCAGTTAGGGTGAAGGCTGTCTCTAGTCCTTTGTTTAAGGGCTGGTTGGTAGGGTGAAGGCTGTCTCTAGTCCTTTGTTTAAGGGCTGGTAGTTAGGGCGGAGGCTGTCTCTAGACCTATAGTTTAAGGACTGGTTGGTAGGGTGAAGGCTGTCTCTAGTCCTTTGTTGGGTGGTAGGGTGGAGGCTGTCTCTAGTTTTGTTGTTGGAGGGCTGGTAGGTAGGGTGAAGGCTCTCGGCCTATTGTTTAGGGGGTGGTAGGTAGGGTGAAGGCTCTAGTCCTATAGTTTAAGGGCTGGTAGGTAGGGTGAAGGCTCTCGGCCTATTGTTTAAGGGCTGGTAGGTAGGGTGAAGGCTCTCGGCCTATTGTTTAAGGGCTGGTAGGTAGGGTGAAGGCTCTAGGCCTATTGTTTAAGGGCTGGTAGGTAGGGTGAAGGCTCTCGGCCTATTGTTTAAGGGCTGGTAGGTAGGGTGAAGGCTCTCGGCCTATTGTTTAAGGGCTGGTAGGTAGGGTGAAGGCTCTCGGCCTATTGTTTAAGGGCTGGTAGGTAGGGTGAAGGCTGTCTCTAATCCTATTGTTTAAGGGCTGGTAGGTAGGGTGAAGGCTCTCGGCCTATTGTTTAAGGGCTGGTAGGTAGGGTGAAGGCTCTAGGCCTATTGTTTTAGGGCTGGTTGGTAGGGTGAAGTCTGTCCATGGGCTTTTTTTATAAAAGCTGGAATATATTATAGAAAATAAGAATTTAACTTTTCTTTTGTAACACTTGAACTCACTGGCTATTTTCTCAAAATAAACAGACCCGATGTGAAAGAAATGCACGCGGTTAAGCCCCAGTGTTATATATTTAGAGATGTAGACTTAAAATGTTAATAAGAAAGAATGCTAGGAACAATTATTTCATGAAAATAATGTTTAATAGTACTTACCTGCGCGCGTTGTTTTAATGGTGGTTAATGTTGTTGGTGGTTCTGTAGGTCGTTCTGTAGGTGGTTCTGTAGGTGGCGCTGTTGTTGGTTGTGTAGGAGGCTTTGTAGGTGGCACTGTTGGTGGATCTGTTGGTGGCTCTGTTGGTGGCTCTGTTGGTGGCTCTGTAGGTGGCTGTGTTGGTGGTTCTGTAGGAGGCTCTGTAGGTGGCTCTGTTGGTGGCTCTGTTGGTGGTTCTGTAGGTGGCTGTGTTGGTGGTTCTGTAGGAGGCTCTGTAGGTGGCTCTGTAGGTGGCTCTGTTGGTGGCTCTGTTGGTGGTTCTGTAGGTCGTTCTGTAGGTGGTTCTGTAGGTGGCTCTGTTGGTGGTTCTGTAGGTGGTTCTGTAGGTGGCTCTGTTGGTGGTTCTGTAGGTGGCTCTGTTGGTGGCTCTGTTGGTGGTTCTGTAGGTGGTTCTGTAGGTAGCTCTGTTGGTGGCTCTGTTGGTGGTTCTGTAGGAGGCTCTGTAGGTGGCTCTGTTGGTGGCTCTGTTGGTGGCTCTGTTGGTGGCTCTGTTGGTGGCTCTGTTGGTGGTTCTGTAGGAGGCTCTGTAGGTGGCTCTGTTGGTGGTTCTGTAGGAGGCTCTGTTGGTGGCTCTGTTGGAGGTTCCGTAGGTGGCTCTGTTGTTCTGTTGGTGGCTCTGTTGGTGGTTCTGTAGGAGGCTCTGTAGGTGGCTCTGTTGGTGGTTCTTTAGGAGGCTCTGTTGGTGGCTCTGTTGGAGGTTCCGTAGGTGGCTCTGTTGGTGGCTCTGTTGGTGGTTCTGTAGGTTGCTCTGTTGGTGGTTCTGTAGGTGGCTCTGTTGGTGGTTCTGTAGGAGGCTCTGTAGGTGGCTCTGTTGGTGGCTTTGTTGGTGATTCTGTAGGTGGCTCTGTTGGTGATTCTGTAGGTGGCTCTGTTGGTGGCTCTGTTGGTGGTTCTGTAGGTGGCTCTGTTGTTGGTTCTGTAGGTGGCTCTGTTGGTGGTTCTGTAGGTGGCTCTGTTGGTTCTTCAGTTGGTTTTTCTGTTGGTTCTTCGGTTGGTGGCTCCGTTGGAGCTTTAGTTACAGGTGTTGTAGGTGGCTTTACTGTTGTTACTGAAATTACTGGTAGAAAATATATAAAATATTCAATTTTAACTCAAAAAAAATAATCAACATTTTTTTTTCTGATAAAAATGTTAAAACAAATTTACCAATTGAAGTATTACGCATCTTTGTTATGAACATGTTATGTAGCTAATTTCAAATCTTTACAATTCTATTTAAAATTTACTTCTAATCGGTAATGTTTATTCATTTGACAGTAAAAACTTCACACAAAAAAAACGATTTCAAATCTCCTCTAATTGATGATTCTATTATTATTTACCATTGCAAGTTACTTTGATCAAATCTCTCTTGATGTAATCCAGTAGGCTATAACTTCCAACCTTGAACACGTATTGCGGGCCACTAGCGATGTCCTCCAGCTCTCGTTGAGTGGGCTCGGAGCCGATACCCAAAGAGACGATTGTAATCCCTGAACTTTTTAGCTCAGCGGCAACTTTAGCAGCTGAGGATGAAAGCAACGGACATTTAAACATTTGTAGTTTAAATAATAAGTAGCCGACATACACATCCCCCGTCTTACATCTCACTTACTAACCTATCAATGACTTAAATATCACTGACATATTTGTCCATGACCTAGATACTCCTGATCTACCTGTACATCACTTAATTATCCCTGACATACTTTAATGACTTAAATATCCTTGACATACTTTGATGACTTAAATATCCTTGACATACTTTGATGACTTAAATATCCCAGACATACTTTAATGACTTAAATATCCTTGACATACTTTGATGACTTAAATATCCCTGACATACTTTGATGACTTAAATATAGCCCTGACATACTTTGATGACTTAAATATCCTTGACATAACTATTATGATTTTTTCAAATTTTTAAAGTCAGAATTTGAAAACACATGTTAAACACTGTCAAAAGATTCCTACTATATGGAGCCAAAACTCGGAGAACAATAGCAATCAGAAAGTACAGACCTTCATGAACCCTTGCCTTAGAAAGACCCTGAACAAATACTTATTGGAAAGGAAATACCAGGAGCCTATTGCTATAGACATCGTAAGGAAAATATGGAGGTGGATATGACACACTCTTCGTAAACAGCCAGATAACATCACCAGACGATTCCTAAAATGGAATACACATAGGAAAAGAAAGAGAGGAAGGCCAAAGAATACTTGGAAACGCGGGCTAGAGGCAGGTACACACGGTATAGGATACACCTGAAAGCAATTTGAAAGGAAAGCACTGGGACGAGATGAATGAAAAATTATTATAGACTGGCTATGCCCCAAACGGGATAAAAAGGCATAAGTAATTAAGTACATCTGTCCCTTACTTGCACATGTCTTATATATTCCTTAACTACTTATCGCTGAGTTTTATAACATATGCATAAACAGCCTGTTACAACGTTGTTCCCCCCTAATTCGACAATGTCTTCCATCGACCTACTTTCTGTCGGATAAGTGGAACGACCATCTGTCATGACAATGACAATATCTTTAGCGTCCACTCTGCCACCAGCAGCTTCACTGAACATCTGCTGTTTCGTGATCTCCTTTAGTCCAAGGTCTGTGTTTGTCCCTGATGCACGGGGATATTTGATGTCCAGTAGAGCCTTGGGAAAGAACACAATTATACAAGGTTCTTTATGGCCTAGAAATAAGCCACGTATTGTTTATTTGGGCATTGGTTGTTTTTTGTTTTTGGTAGAGATAAGTCTTACAATTTCAGTATGCCTTAGTGGTTGGAAATAAGCCATATTATGTTTAGAATAAGTTGGGGGTAGAAATAAGCCATATAATGTTTAGTAAGGCCTGGGGTAGAAATAATCTATATAATTTGTAATGTTTAGTATGGCCTGTGGGTAGACATGAACGATTTAATTGCCAGCAGGGCCTTTGGATAGAAATAAGCCATATAATTATTAGTAGGGCCTGTTGGTAGAAATGAGTCATATATGTTCCCTTGGGCTTGGAGATATATAAGCCATAAGTCGTTTATTTAGGGCACTTGTTGAAATAATATATAAATATATATTTAAATAT